AACAGCAAGGGCGGGCCGTCGATCGTTCACCCTAAGCACGCCAGGCTGCGGGATGTCTTTCACAATACACGTGCGAAACGTTGCGGATCATGTGTCGGTCTGGGTTGGAGTTTCGGTATTTATTGCTGGGTTTGGGGTTGTTCGTGTTGATCGAGATTGGCGGGGTGGTTGATGCTGGGATGTAGATCTGCTATCACTTTTCTTTGTTCTCCAGTCAGGGTACTTTGTCAACTTGCGATATGAATGGCTGCTGCTTGCAGAATTCGAGTCAGTCAAATTGATCTGATGTGACATTGGATTGCTTGCTCATTTACAATCGTGATCTTCGAGTGGCCTCAGTCGCCTACAATGGCACCGCCGCACCGTCACCGCGTAGATCACTACCTCCACTCCAGACCTGTACATCATCATCTACGTGTCGCCGGATGATCTGGCCTCGACCGAACATACCGCGTCCGTAGCCGTCCAGTTGCTTGACGTTATGACCGAGTGCTCGCAGCTCCTCTACGACCTTTTGGTCGATACCCTCTTCCAGGTAGATCGTCGCGTCAGTCATTTTGCCGTCAGCGCTGGGCATGCCGGCTCCGATACAGAAGCGTGGTGAATCTAGCGCAGCTTGTGGGTTAAGCTTGAAGATTTCTTGGTTGAGGAGTACCTGTACATGACCCTGAGGTTGCATGAAACCGCCCATGACGCCGTACACGGAGTGCAGACTACCATCGTTGATGTATGTTGTCAGACCCGGAATGATAGTGTGGTATGGACGCTTCCTCGGGGCTAGAACATTGGGGTGGTCTTTGTCGAGACTGAAGTTTGCGCCTCGGTTTTGCAGAGTGAAACCGCAGCCTTTGGGAATGATGGCAGTACCAAATCCGCCATAGTTGCTGTTGATGAAGGAGATGGCATTTCCTTCGGGGTCAGAACAGCAGAAGTAGACAGTGTCGCTTTGGAGATGCGCAGGAGAACCATGGACAGGCGCTGAGATGGCCTTCTTTTGGTCGAATAGTTTCGCTCGCTCAGCAAGATACTTTTCCGAGATAAGCTCGGCAGATGGCACTTTGACGACGTTCGGGTCTGTGACGAACCAATGGGCGTCACAGAAAGCAATCCGCAATGCTTCGATAACAGTGTGGAGATATTGGGTGCTGTTGTGGTCGTTCAGGCTCCACTTTGGAATCTTCTTCTGCTTCTCAAGTTCCTGGATAATGCCGAGGGCCATCAAAGCGACGATACCTTGGCCATTTGGTGGATGTTCCCAAAGCTCGATACCGCCGTCGGGTCGCTCTCCTACACCTTGGCCTGTGTACTTTAGCGAGATGGGGTCTACTGGCTCTGTCCCGGTTTCTGCATGGTGTTTGAGATCGTCTAGAGTGAGATAGCCACCGAGATCTTGCACTACTTTTACGAGCTGCTCGGCTACTTCGCCCTCGTAGAATCCTTTCTTTCCGTGCTTGGCCAGCAGTTTGAAGGTGTTGCCCATGGTGGGGTTCTTCATGATTTCTCCAGCTTTGGGCGCTCTGCCATCCTTGAGCATCTCGCGCCCGTTGGGCGATGCTTTCAAGAGGTCCTTTTCGCTCGCTGCCCACTGCAAAATGTCAGAATGTCACCTGTTCATGAAGCGTTGCAAAACTTACGAATGTTGCTGATAACTCGGAGACTGGGAAACCGTTCTCCGCGAGATCGATGGCGGGCGCGAGCACGTCCTCCATGCTGACCTTTCCACTACCAAATCTCTCAACACAGTCAACCCATCCTGCTGCTGCGCCAGGCACTGTCGCGGCATGTACATGATCCATGGGAATCTGACCGCTCTGGCCTTCTGCAATGTTGAGGTCTTTCCTGACCTTGTCGAGAGTGACGTTCGCACCACTCCGGCCGGAACCGTTCATGGCAGATACCTTCTTCGTCTTCGCATCGTAGTACAGACAGAACATATCACCGCCGATGCCCGTTGAGCCCGGCTCTGTGACATTGATGGCTGCCGCAACGGCCACCGCAGCATCCTTTGTAGCGTTAGTATGTGATGGAAGTGGTGATAGATTACGTCATACTGCCGCATTACCACCTTTCCTCAGGATCTCGATTCCAGCAGCGGCTGCAAGTGGCTGCGTACACGACACAATGCCTTTGGTGCTATGTACGACTGAACGACGACTGGGGAAATGGACAAACTGGGGCTCAGGATGTGGGTAGACATTGCGCGTATTCGAAGTAGTATTGTTATCCATGGCGACTTTGGCGACTTTGGCGGGCCGTTCTTGCTCAGGCTCTTGTTGGGCTTTGGACCTCTTGCTTCGTCGTGGGGTAGGCATGGGGACTTGAATTGTGAAGCTTGGAGCTATGAGTGGGGTACGGACAAGTTGCTATGGTATACCTAGGTACCTAAGTAGTCTCCAACGGTTATCCCCGGAGATGCTTGATGCCGTTCAACGTGCCGATTTCGCTCGATAATCCCTCGGGACATATCGCAGCGTCCCCGCCTATCTCCATGACGTCTCCGCAACAGGAAGGTGGTAAGGCGGTGTAGTCCGCTTTAATCTGCCGGGGTGAGGGTTATCGTCACGTGCACACGTTCCGAGCCGATCGGAACGCGCATTGGACATGGAGAAATTCACAGATTGGAGCTTGAGGCAACTCGACGATGCTCACAACGTCATGGATATGTCGCAATTGCCTGTCGCGCATTGCTCGTCCCTTGATAAATCGCAGTATTCGGTTCCAGAGTAACGGTGTGTATTGGATGTGTCCAGTCTGAGCAAGTCGCTAATATCGCATAGCTGCAACATCCGAGTCTATACCCCCAGCCCTCCTCACAAGAGCCCGCGCAATCGTTTCCGAGCACAAGGAACTGACAGAGAAGCTTTCAAATGGCTTTGACACACGCGCGGCGAAGAAGCTCGGCGAATACAGCCCGATCGTGAATGCGTTGGGTGAGTGGGATAAGGCCAACGAGGTAAGCAGGATATCGCAGCCAGCAGGAGCACTTCAGTAGCTGATATGGACTAAGTGTGTGACAGAGCTCACCTCGATGATACACGACTCCTCGACCGATCCCGAACTACGATCACTCGCTTCCGACGACCTTGGAGAAACCCGAACACAGCTCGCCAATGCTTCACAGAACCTCATCACCTCTCTGGTGCCGGTACACCCATTTGCACACCTACCATGTCTTCTGGAAATACGGCCTGGCGCAGGCGGATCAGAGGCAGCTATATTTGCGGGGGACCTCTTTCGCATGTACTCAGCCTTCTGCAATCGCAATGGCTTTCGCACGAATCTCCTCAAGTATGAGAACATAAACGGAACGACGGAAGCGGGTGTACCGCTATCAGAAGCCATTATTGAGGTGGAGAACGATGGCGCATATGGCGTCTTCCGATGCGAAGCAGGTGTTCATCGGGTACAGCGTGTGCCCGCCACTGAGGCCAAAGGACGTACACACACGAGCGCGGCATCCGTACACGTGCTACCCAGTCTACAGGAGAACTCTGCAGAAGAGCAGGACTTCGAAGACCCTGAGAGCGACTACTACATCGACGTGAAAGAGGTCAAACTAGAAGTCATGAGGGCAAGCGGTGCCGGTGGCCAGCACGTCAACAAGACCGAGTCAGCAGTTCGGCTAACGCATATTCCCACAAACACGGTCGTCGCGATGCAAGATTCTAGATCCCAGCACAAGAACAAAGAGAAGGCTTGGGCGCTTCTGCGCTCGCGTATTGCCCAGTCAAGACGCGAGAAACGCGAAGAGGAGATGGCCAACATGCGACGAAGCGTTATTGGTGTGGCGAAGATGGGCCGTGGTGACAAGGTGCGCACCTACAACTGGGGGCAGCAGCGGGTTACCGACCATAGGAGTGGAACCACTGTGCATGATTTAGACGATGTAATGGGTGGTGGCCAGACGCTTGAGAAGGTCATGGAGAGTGTCCGCAGCTGGCTCATGGAGCGAGATGTTGAAGCCTTGATCGCGGATGATGCTGGATCGAAGGACAAGAAGTGAGGTGCAGAGGTATGCCCGGACAGAGATGATCTTTCTCATCCGGTATCCGTATTGCACAACATGTACGAAAGGCACCTGGAGAGCAAGCCTGTGGAATCACATCGCCGAACCAGCGCTCAACAAAAAGCAGGGCCATCCACATAGACGTACGCTGTCGGATGCATTCATGCGAACTGCCGGAACCGCACCGCCGGAATCGCGAATTCAAATGGTTTCAATCGAGCTACACCCAGTACTTGTTTTCATCTTTGTTTCAACGTGACTGCGGCAGCATTCATCAGAAGGCCCATTCTGTCGAACTAAACAGTATAGTCGTCTAATGAATACTTCGTCTGGTGGGTAAGATAGGCTTGCGAACCGCATATAGGCTACACAGAACCTCGCCGGGGTCATATTACCGTCTGTACGCCATCTTTACCACAACGCAACCAGCACACCAATTCCGATCTATCCAGGCCCGCCACCAAAAATAAAAAGCTCGTAGCTGAGCCGCTCGCCAAGTCCATAGGGCCCGATTTCCACACTGCGGGGTACATGGAACCTTTTCCCGGCAAGATGCTAGCCACAAAGACATCTTCCTCACGATGTCGCTACAATCGAGTCAGTCTAACCATGCGCCACTTTCGATCCAAGATGGGCCCAGATCGTCACATTGCTGAAACGTTCGTCAATTCCCCGCACTTCAGTAGTTGCGACTACCCCAGGTTTCGCTTGTGCTAGTCACTGGAAACAGTTCGAGTGGGTCGAATGTGGGCTTGGTACGCGCCTACTGGATCGCTACATGAAGTTGACTGCATGTTTCAGAGGCCAAGGTGAACTGATAGGAAGACGTTTTCAGGAATGTGGGGTGCGTTTGGTATCGGGATGTGGGAGGGATTGGGGATATAGGATAGTTATGATCCCGTCACTGGGGGTAGACAGTTGCAAGCACCTTGTCTCCTCCTTTCAAAGTCGCAGTACTGAATCAACAGAATTCTTTTACTCAACTCGCTAGATCATGGCTTCAGATACCATCCAACCCGACTACGAAAAGGAGAAACAACAAGTCAGCCATCACATCGAACATGCAAACCCGCATCATGGTACAGACTTGTCGCTGGAATCACAGCATGAACAAACGGACCAAGGCGTGGATACGAATAATGCCCAAGCACTCAAAGGAGACGACTCAGATGGCAAGGTAGAATGGAGTGTGCGTAGCATCTTCGCCGCCATCTTCCTCGCCGCACTATACACCGGTACAACCACCCCTCCTCATCCCATCCCATCCCCAACCCAAACTAACAACCCTACTCCAGGCTCCCAAGTAATCCTCTACTTCGCCGGCGCCTCCCTCTCCTTCATCGAAGCAGACCTCAACCTCGACCGCGGCTCAGCCTGGCTGCCCACCGCCAACATCCTCGCCATCGCCGCCGTATGCCCCTATGCAGGCTACCTCCAAGACCTCTTCGGGAAACGCTACATCGCACTCTTTGGCTCCTTTTGCATCTGCCTCGGATGTGCGTTGATGGGCAGTGGACAGAACTTCGGACAGCTGTTGGCTGGTATGGCGATTTCGGGGGCGGGCGCTGCGACGGGGGAGTTGACTGGTCTTGCTGGGTATGTTGTGTTACTTCTTTGCTTTGGTCCGATGTTTTTTTTTGTTCCGCTGTCTGCGTCTGTCCATTCATCTGCATCTTTCGTAAAATCGTACCTACAATCCAACTCCACTAACCTACTTACTATCAGCCTCGCAGAAGTCGTCCCCGTAAAATACCGCGGCTACTCCCTCGCCCTCGTAACCGCCTTCGTCCTCCCCTTCTGCCCCTACCTCCTCTACGTAGAACTCTGGTCGCACTCCGCCTCGGGCCCAGGTTGGCGCTGGGTAAGTTCCTTCCTTCCCCCCTCCCATCCCCCACACAAGATATCCACTGATAAAACAAAATCCAGGGCCCCTGGGTCGCCCTAATCTTCAACTTCATCGTCGGCGTCGGCCTCGCCCTGACCTACTTCCCCCAGCGCCACACCAACACCAACACCAACCCCTCCTCCCCCTCCTTCTCCCGCCGCGCAATCCTGAAAAGAATAGACTACATCGGCGGCGTACTCTCCATAACAGGCCTAACCCTCTTCCTCGTCGCCCTCCAATCAGGCGGCTACACCCACCCCTGGACCTCCGCCTACGTCCTATGTACCATGCTCATCGGCCTGCTCCTCATCCTCACATGGATCCTCTACGAAGCCAAATACGCCGCATACCCCATGGTCCCTCGTGCCCTATTCTCTGGGCAAAGGATAGTGGGGCTGGCGTATGTCGTTGCGTTTAGCGCCGGCATGAATTTCTTCTCTATACTTAATTTCTTTCCGGTTACGTTTAGTAGTGTGTACACACCTGATCCAGTTTCTATAGGTCTGAGGGGCTTGGGACCGGCGCTTACGACGGCGGTGGGGGCGATTGTTTTCAATGCGGCACTGAGTGCGTTTCCGGGAAGGACGAGGGAGGTGTTGCTGTTGGCTGTGGGGATTATGACGGGTTTTGCTGGGGCGCTGGCGGTTATGACGCCCGAGAACGAACGCTTGGTGCTGTTTCTGGGATCCATGGCGGGGTTTGGTGTAGGCGGCGTTCTTGTCCCCGCTGCGACGGTTGCGATGCTCGTTTGTCCGGATTCCCTCATCACAACCGCTGCGGCGCTATCACTATCGATCCGCACCGTTGGCGGCAGTATCGGGTATTCGATTTACTACAACATTTTCGCGGGGAAACTGGCTGTCAATCTGCCCAAGTACACGGCGATGTATGCGGTGCAAGCTGGTCTGCCGCTGGAGAGTGTGGAGGCTTTCCTAGGCTTGTTTCTGACGGAGCCGGAGAAGTTGGCGGAGGCGGGTATTCGGGGTGTTACGCCGCAGGTTATTGAGGGTGCGACGGTTGGGACGAGGTGGGCGTATAGTGAGAGTTTGAAGTATGTTTGGGTAAGTTGAAGATCTCTCCGCTGACTGCTCAGATGACATGAAGCTAACGTTGATGGGCATCTAGTTTACGAGCATCGCCTTTGGAAGCATAGCAATAATCTGCACGCTTCTCCTCCCCAGCACGAAAAAGTACCAAACGAACCGCGTCGCCGTCCGAATCTGAGCTCAACACCACCTTCAGAATACTTAGCTTCACACTTTTTTTTACTAGTTAGCTCCATTTTTCATCACGATACAAGATCAGAGTATAATACACACATCTCTACTGAGACCATCAATTTCTATCTACTACTTGGTTAGTTCATCACATCACAAAAGCACAGTGACCAGCAAAGCAATAACCGTTAAGACAAAACATCCTCATTTCGGTATTCAAAGATAATGAATCTATGGTATAAAGTGGGTTCTACTCCAACAGTAGTACGCAAAGCAAGCGATAGAGAAAAGCCAAAACGTGACAACCCACCCATTCCTAGAGAACCAAGTTTGGTTGCGCATTTGCATGATTCTGTTCGGCATGCATCTTGTCTCATCTTGTCTCATCTCATTCCATCCATCCATCCCTTTCCTCATTGATCGTGCCATGCACACTTACCCTCCTCCACAAAGCGCGACGCCAAAAACACCCTTATACCATCCCATCAATGATACCCACCCAAATCCATCTCAAACTCATACTCCATCCTCTCCCCCCTTTCTACCCTCTCCCCAGCACTCCCACTACCGCTGATTAAAGAACCAGCTCGTCCGCTTCCCCTTATTCGCATCACCTCCATCACCGTCCTGCTTCTGCAGATTGCCAATGACAGGGAGGACAGGGCCGTCCGCGACGGGCCCACCACCGCCGCCACGAAGCGGTTTGGCGATGCGGGACCCGACGCCGCCGAAGCCAGCGTAAGATGCGCCGCCAGCGGGGGAACCGAGACCGCGGGTGGAGCCTGCTTTGGCCGACTCGAGGCGCTCTTTGACGGCTGTGAGTTGGGCTTCGAAGCTGCAAGGAAGTATAGTAGTTAGTATGTTGAGTGGTTTGTGAGGAGGGAGGGAGGGAGGGAGGGAGAAAGTTACCGGTGATTCGCAGCTGTAAGTTTCTCCTGGGAGTCTTGCAACAAGCTTTCTAAAGACTGTATCCGCTCGTTTCGGGCCATGAGTTTGCGTTCGGCGATAGCGACTTCCTTCTTCAGGGAGCTGTTTTGCTCGACGAGTTGGCGCTGGACGACGGTGAGTTGCTCGAGGTTGCGCTCGAGGAACATCATCTTCTTCTGCTGGGCGCGGTTGTTGGAGGTACGGAGCACGTTGTTATACTGCTCGCGTGTCTCGTCTAACGAAATCTCAAGCTCGACAACCTGTGGCTTATTAGCAATGCGTCTTCGTTTGAGAAGCTCAGTCTGCTCACTCGTTCACAGCGGTTCTGGAGGTCGCGCATGAGGCTCTTCTTCATGTTGTCAAACTCGGCAATCTGCTGTTGCACAGTCTTGCCGTTGATGCCGTTGGCGACACCGTTGGCAATAGCGCCACTCTTAATGCGCTGTTGCAGGCTTTCGTTCTCGGCCTTGAGCTTCTGGTTCTCTTCCAGCATACGTGCAGTATCCTGCTTGAGGCTTTCGACAAGTTCGAGGTTGCCTTCTTGTCGGGCAGAGTAGGCGTCGGCAAGGCGTGCCTTGAGCTCCTCCTTGTCTTGCTCGGAGAGGTTGCCCTCGAGAAGTTCCTCGTACTGCGTCTGCAAGGTCTCGCAGCGTGCCTCCAGTGCTTCGCGGCGCTTGGCATATGTGTTGTCCTCCTCACTGCGGGCAGTAAGGGAGAGCTCGGCCTGTCGCACAATGCCCTGTGTTTCGACAATCTTCTCCCGCAGGCCCTTGATCGCATCCGGAGCAATCGCCTCGCCAGCCGCGCTCATGTCGTGGAGCTGGTCTAGCTCCTCAATAATCTTCCGTATCGTGCGCTCGTTGTCACTGAACACCTCGCCGCCGAGATCGAAGCCGGCCATCATTTGTGCCATTGCCTCGGCCTTCTTCCTCTTCTTCTCGTCCATAGCGGCGGAAGTCTCCTTGGCGTTCATCTTTGCGTCCAGGAGCTGTTGCTTGACGTCGTCCAGCTCGGTGGTCAGCTCCGAGTTGGCTTCCTTCAGTCCGTCCATGGTGATTTGCGCCTCCTTGCTCTCGAACTGGATCTTCTCAACCTGCATGCGCATTTCGTTGAGCTCCATGGTGATTCGCTCATTGTCCTTGTTCGTCTTCGCGTCTCGGTCTTTGTAGTATTGGAGCTCCTCTTTGGCAGACTTGAGTTGGTCCTCAGCCTTGGCAAGCTGCGATTCCTTTTCGGCAACCTGGTCCTGGAGTTCGTTCTCTCTTCGCAGAAAGTCGTCCTTCTCGTCCTTGTCTAGTGGTATGCTGGGTGTACCTGCGCGTTCCAGGTCCATTCGCGAATCAGGTCGTGGCGTTTCCGAATTTCTCACACCTTCCAGTCTCGATGGCGTGCCCGGACGAGGCGTTGTCGCTGGCTTCCTTCCAGATGACGGACTTGTCTCTAGAGGCGGAATCCATTTCTCCTTGGGGACGCTTTCACCTGCACGCCAAACCGAGACTTCGCCCTCAAGCGAACCGATGTATGTTTCGTAGGACGTGACTTGTCCTTGTACCTTCTTGAGCATGGCTTTGAGCTCAGCCGGACTGAGTTCGGCGTTGACCTTGGCCTTGTTCTTGATAGTCTTTGCGCGCATACCGAATCGAAGTGTGCCCAGCGTCTCGGCATCGTTGTAACTACTTGGCGAACAGTTGATGATCAGGGTCGTCCGGGAGTTACCACCGAGCGATTCTTGAAGAATACGTGTGAGCTTCGAGTCTCGGTAGGGGATATGTTGCGTTTTGCTGTCGGTCAAGCAGTTGATGACCATGCCCAAGGCACTCAAACTCTTGTTGATCTTCTTTGCTTCCTCCAGCGTCTGTCCACTCGCTCCGGTCTTGCCGACCTTCTCAGAACCAGCCAAATCGACCAAGAAGAGCTGTCCGCTCTTCAATGACCCGGTCTCGACGTTCTTCTGGTTGACCGTTACGACAAAGATGGAATGCGATCGCGAGGATTCGGCGTTCATGTTGGTAGCTGACACCGCTCGTGCAGATCCACCTCTTCGGAGGACCTCGTAGACTTCTTCCTCGCTCGAAACGTATACTTCCAGCAGACCCTTGACGTAGACTCCCCTGTTCTTCTCTTCGTGCACCGGCAGATTGTCGTTTTGGGGAACCAAAAGATCGCGGATGCGCTCCATGTAGATCTCCATGTAACTGACGCGGACGGTATATTCAATGTTGCTCGGCGATGCCAGAATGCTTGCGAAGATTTGCTGGATGATACGCGGGATGACTCCCTTGCCAACCTCATCGTCCATATCGCTACCCATCATGGTGTACGACTTTCCCGCTCCTGTCTGCCCGTAGGCAAAGACTGTTCCGTTGTATCCATTCAGAATATCGTCGACGGTGGGGCGGATGGAGTAGTCGAAGACGTCGGCCTGGCGGGAGTTCATGTCGAAAACGCGATCGAAGGTAAAGGCCCCGGAGGCCTCTTTCGACTAACACACAGCATTAGTGGCTCTGCTTTGCATCCCTCGAGCTGGCATGCCGTACCTGGATCGTACATGTGTCGTCGGATTTGAATTCGACTATGGGCTCTCCGCCGCTGGCTATCTCGACCTTGTTCTGCGGGCGGAACCGCGCCACCACTGCAGTCGTACCGTCAGTAACCCGTATGCCATGCGTCTCTGTGTCCCGTGTATGGCGGCGCACCTTTGATAGTATTGGAGCCCCTGTCGCCCGTTTTGTTAGCCATGCCACCCCTCTTCGCCGCCATGTTTGAGCTACTCACGACATGATTGCTGCTGTTCAGGCGGTGCGGCCCAGAGGCCTCGCTCTGTTTGCTTCGCTCGCGCTTCGGGGCAGGTGTTGCTGCAGGCCCGACGGGAGGTCCTGTTGTGGCACCGTCACGTCTCGCTGTGTCTCGGCGCGTGGGAGGTGGGTAATTACAGGCCCCGCTATGACTATGGTTAAGGGGAACTGCTGAAACGGCCACGGAGGCTTCTTGGGGCTCGCCGGGGACTCCTTCGCTGCTCGCGCCAGGAGGAAGTGAGGGGACAACAGCACGGGGGCGCGCGCGGTGAGGGAGACGAGCGATGTTGATGCCGGCCGATTGTCGAGGTGCGGGCTGGGGCTTGTGTTGATACGCCCAGGGTCTGCATGCCCATAGCGCGCCTTCCTCCTCCCCGCCGCCAACGGCCGTGACGCAACCTGCCTGGTCAAAGCATGCTCTGCGCATCTTCCTTTATGGCGACCCCTTTGTCCCGCCTACTTGCATTGCTTCATGGCATTGTAGCAGTTGCAGCAAGATACCGCTGCATTGTGCCCAAGACAACTAACCAGGATCCCTGCATTAGTGGAGCGACAAAGACAATCACGCTTCTCTACATGATCAGCGATGCCAACGAAAACGGACGTATATTGGCTACGCCACGAACATAGAACCATAGTGAACCAAACTCCACGCCGCAGAGCCTCAAACAAAACGCCTCTGGCTGCCAGTAACAAACATGACATTGTCCCTGTTCCTTGTAACTCCATCCCATGCCGTCGTGTCGTGATATTCGTACCCCAGTCGCCCCTCAGTCCTCCCAGCTCTTCTCCACCGTCTCGCGCACGCGCTTGGTGTACTCCTTGCGGTTCTCTTTGTACAGGTTCGATGCTTCGACATTGGCGGGAGACGAGGTGTTCGGGTCGTTTAACAGACTGGACCCTGTTAGCATGTGTCGCGCTGTAGCCCATCTAGCTCTACTCGGACGTACCTCTGGATACTGGTCAAGATGGCTGCCACGTCGTACGTGGGTGACCATCGGTTTTGGAGAATGTCCAGACACAGCTCGCCGGTCCCGTATACGTTGGGATGGAACATCTGGCTAATAAACTTGACGCCCGGCGGCTTGTTTGGGTATGCCTCCTCGAAATGCATTATAAGACGGAAGGTCC